TATATTAGCTAGACATGTACTTAAGTCTAACAACTAATAAAACAAGTAATACCATCGTTTCAATCACGATGCTATATTGAACAGACGTACCTGTACAATCAACATACAATTTAGTTGTGTGTGTGTTATTTTTAACGTCATGGACATCATTTGTGTTTAGTGCAATTATGTAACTTAAATCAAGCCAGCTTGCATCTTTCAAGGACAACAACATGTTTTTCGATGTATTCTACACTTGCATCATATGTTATTATGGATATCAGTTTCAAGAAAAAGATTTAAGTTTAATAAGTTTCCAATTAGGGTTAGGGATTCCTATTTTGATTAAAACTTAATATTTTGCTACTTATCACTAAATATGGCTTGTAATAATGTGAATTCATATGTAAGTTGATATAATATTATTTAGAATAGGTTTCGCACATGTGTCGCTTTTTCCAAATTAACCATATTATTCATTATAGCAGGGCAGCGATGCAAATGTCACATGTGAAAACCTAACATTTACTATTAGCTCCTGGTTTCGTGTCAGCGTAATAAGGTTAGTGATAAAATCATCAAACAGTTTGATTTATTTCCAACAAATCATGATTTCAAGGCAATTGGAAAAAAACTCATCGAAATAGGTGAGGAGTAACATTCACATGTCTCAAAATGAATTGGAAATTTCCTTCACTGGTCACTAAGTATTCTCAAGGGAATGCATTAGTATTCGCGTTGCCATGTTTACACTTATTTCCATTCAAAATTAATAGATTTTCAATATTGGATCCTCATTTTATAAAATAGATGGTAAAATAATTGTAATTACAACAGGGTAATATGTCATTTAGAATAACAATATGTGTAAGTTATTCGTAAGAAGTGAGGATGGTACTAACTAATTTAGAGCCTGTCGCACGGAAGTCCCCATAATATCACGAGAAGTCGGCGCGATATCACAGGGTTATCGTATTAATACGTCTTATACGGTGTACCTAAAGTGGTTTTGCTGAGGGACAAATGAAGAAGGCCGTACACTGTGCTATCCACCGTTGCCACAAGGCACGACTCTGTACTATTTGATATGTTAAGATGTTATACAGTGCAATTACATCCATCTGTAACTATGCCAATGAGGTAATAAGAGAATGAATATGATAATGCGAGCTCGATTACAATTGTATTTTTAACAGCCATGATTTTAGATATTCAGGATGACAGTAGCAAAAAGATTGTTGTCAATAAATACCATATTGGCATACTGTGATAAAAATAATACTAGAACTTGGAAGTAATTATAAACGAAACATGAACTGAGCAATCAGTCGTTCACAAATAGCTTTGCTACAGTTGCTTTTTTATGTATCCACGCTAGTAAAATATGTCTGTGACAAACGAGCGTTTATTGTGTGTTGTTTCACGCTATATTGGACAGAGTATAACATGCTTTCATTTGCCAAAGAAAATACAGTTGTCTTATATAGCCTATCAATACATGTTATTGTATAGTACTGTGACTGTAACAAATTATCTATATTTTTCGTAGTGTTTTGCTGGAGTGAACTGCCTTATTATAAATGAAACTATTATAATATTTAATAAAACATTCTTCATTGACACACCTGCTCGTATATCTACTTAACTAGCGCGCATGCGCCTTGTACGAATGACGACACCAAAAGAATGAGGATAAACGTGTTATTTGGCATATGTGCTCAAGAAAGCAAGAGGTAGGTTTCAGTAATACTTGCAGTTGATATTACTTTGTGTGGCATTTTTTCTTTATAGTTCAGGCACACATTTATGTATGTGATTTCTGTATGTGAGTTTAGTTCAAACATGTGTTCGATCGGAACATACATGCCGGCATTTATTTCAATACCAAGGCGATTTTGTGATGTTAATCCGAAAATATTTCATTTTATGCGATTTATCAGATATATCTGTGTATTCATATGAGTAAAGGTATATGACAACTTTTCTCGTTAGTTTATCATACAATGTTGCTTGGTTCCATCTAATAACTGGTAGAGTGTTATAGCTGCGTCGTAATATTTACGTTAGTCTTCAGATATCGTATAAGGTGTGAACAGCTGGGTTATTTATAAAGTTGATATTACGTAATTTTGTTGAGGTATCTATAGAATTAATAGGTTTCTGTACATTTTCGACTGGAAAAGAGTTATTTGATTTCAATACATGACAGTATATACACGTTTGTAAATGGGAAATATAGTATACCCAATAATACATTAATTAATACAAATTTTCTATTAACATTTTTACCCCGGCGATGTAAACTATATTATGCATCGAGCTTCCTGTCTGTATGTTATTTGTGTATATTACGCACACCGTATTAATTGTCAGCGTTCACATCACTGAACTCCATATCCGCGCACAAAAGAAACTCAAAATTATTAAAAACGTTTGGGCAGATACCACCAACAGATTAATATTGTTTTGACAAACTGCGATCGTTATGTTTTATGTAGATTGTACTCTTGTTATTAACAGTCAGTAGCTCAAAGTAGTGTATCGATAGTTCTATGAACATGTTGTTTCAGTTCTTAAAGATAATTGAGCTGTATGTAAACTTCAAACCGCCGTGTTAGGTTGAAATACTAATTGATCACAATTCAACATGACACAGTCATTCTGATTCCGATAGGGGAACAGTGACTTAATTACGTGCCGTTGCCCGGGAGTTGACAGGCGAATCGTCAGTGAATGCTCATACATGCGTCGAACAGATTCGAGTCGTCTAAACAATCACTATACAGTCCAGAAATATGAATATATGTCACCTTTTGCGCGTAAACATATGTACATCTTGTCATCCTTACATAGTTCTATAATTAACATAAAATTACTAACGTCGTATTAGACGGGTTGTATTCTTGAGTATATTTCATTATGTGTAGTATGCCTTACGAGCATGTCTATCTATACAATTTATAATGTCGATACAGAGATGTCATGGCCCTGTATGTGTGTTAATATGCTCGAAAGTAATCTACATGGATGAACTACCCGCCGACTCGTGTTACATCACTTGCAAGAATATTACGAGTGACATGAATATTATCTTCTTGTAGAATGATTAAAAAGTAGTTCAGATAAAAGTTCATTTTATTTGGAATTACTGATGCTTATTCAGTATATGTTCAGTTAAAGGAATGTTTTTTTTAAAGAAAACTGCTTCTATCGCAATTTTGTAGCAATGATTCACAGTGATAGAACTGTTGCTATCATGAAATAATGATATTTTGTTCTTGTATGAAAACTCATCCATTGCTCGCCGTGACAACCACTCTTCCGAATGAATGCAAAGTGAGTGGTTGTTACCTGGAATATGGATTTTCTCAATTGTTTAATAAATTCTGATGACTGGCTTAACGGTACATATGAATATGATTGACATGTTTCTTTTGTGATCACATTGAATAACGCTAGTTGTAGGTTGTAAATATTTCTTCTATATTGGTTATTATATTACGTCAGATACGTTATAATGTTTAGTACAACAGAAAATGACATGGGTTTGGCCAATATCGTGTTTCTGCAATATTTATATCTGAATATAAATTATAATGTATCATATTAACTTTGATTTCCTGTCCAGTGAAGAAAAAATACACTTCTGATATATGTAATATTATATGGTATATTTCTTTGTATATATTATTTCAGTCTAAACGTGTTTAGTTCTGTAAAAAAGATATATCTCTTGCATGGCAATTATGGATGTTGATGTGTTACATACGAGAGTCTATTCGAAAAATGATGATCGGGAAGGAACTGTAACGAGCAATTATATATATTATATATATACACCCGTAACTATTTTTACAGCGTGGGCGTAATGATGGTATGAAACTAGAGCATAGAGATAAATGCTGTAAGAAATCACTAACTACTATTGACCCTTCCAATTTAAATTATTATATTGCAATAAGGTTAACATAGTTTAAAAATGTTAACGTTTACAAGTGAACTGTGTCGCATGTAACAATACCATTAATAGTTGGAAGAGAAAAACAGTGAATTTTACTAATAGTTAATGACTGAAAATAATTAGTTCGACATGATTTGTTACCATACGCATCACAGTCCCAACAAGCGTTTTTTACCACGTCCATCATTCCGGGTTCGGGTTAATGTCACACATTAGTCACGACATCTAAACGACGAAACATACACTGACGCGATAGTTCTATAGAACCCTATGCGATTCTGTGGCACATTCAACTAAATATGAATACATATGTCCCATTCATGGTGTACTTTACGATTCTTCGGCCTAAATAGTAAAGTTACTGATTGACTAAATTATCAGTGTGAAGCTTAACGAATAATAAATGAATGAACCGACACAGAGTGGCACTTATAATTCTTGCATTGGCGTAAATCACGTCAGTCATTGGCTGTCAGGGGAATCATTACATGAGTCCGCGTTTTTTGCTTGTTGTATTAGTGTTTCTACATATTTTCAGACAGTAAGGTGCATGTAACACATAACATAATTATGTTTAGTATTCATTTGTTATTAAACAAATAACTGATGTAAGGGGAAATTTATTGTCAAGCAAAATTTAGGTACGAAAACGTCTTCTCCACAATGTCAATATATTGGAACTATAAAAAATGTCACTATTAAATATAGATAACATAATATGAATCAATCATGTATTTATGTAGCATATACAAAATATACTTCGAGTACTGCAAGAGATGTCAAAAATGTTTTAACATTTTATAAATACATTCAACATGTATTTATATGTATATTGTTCTATGTTTATGTTCGTGGAACGAAGCTCCTGCTCAGCTGACACCCTTTATTCAAAATAGACGTACCGCGCGGGGAAAAAAGACATTCTCACAAACAGATCAGTAATTTACAATGCACTAATACTAGTACCAGGTTTTCTTTATTTCAAAAGGTTTTCGCCTGTCTTAATATAAAATCTTCCATTTTTCAGATAATAGTTGTGGATCGTACTCGCATACTAAAGATGAATACATCAGTCAACCACAGCTTCGATAGCGTTGGGTTCGGTCCAAGCTTCCCAAGTGGAAAAATTGTTCCAAGGGACGTTACTCTAACGATGTTCGTCTCATTTTTCATCTTGATTGTATGCGGCAATATCTGGGTAATGATCGCTGTTGTCCGCCAGCCCAAACTACGTAAATCATCGACTTGTATGTTTATTATTTCACTCTCTATATCAGATCTGATGATGGCGTTTTTCTACATTCCGATGCAAGTAGCTTACGTGGGATTTGGTCTCACTGGAATGAAAAGCGTTGTGTTATGTAAGGGATCAGCCTGGCTACAATGGGTTGCTCAATGCGCCACGATATTTTCTTTAATCGGAATAGGAATCGACAGATACCGGGCAATAGTTCAACCACTTCATCCTAAGTTGACAAGAACAGATGCTGCGGTGTGTATTGCTGTAATATGGGTATGTGCTGGGGCGTACTCCGGTCATCGTATGTACGTATTAGACATAGTTACATTTATATACCCCATAGGTATCAATGTGACTGTATCTACATCAGTATGTGCAGTGCCATCTGATAAATATTACTTATTAAGTTATCTTGAAATAAGTGACTTTCTTGTGATGTACCTAGTTCCACTTGTAATCCTCTGTGTGATGTACGCCATAATGGTGTCCAGCCTGTGGTTCAGCTCCGCTCCAAACGATGAATCAAAACAGAAGAAAAGAAAAGCTGTTAAGATGCTAATTCTGGTCGTAGTGTTATTTTGCATCAGTTGGTTACCATGGAGAGCCTTTTCTTTATACTTTCAAATGACAGACTTTGCGTCAATCCCAGCAAATATTTTTATATGGAGTGATGTCATAGCCGCGATTTGCATAACTATGTATCTTAGCAACAGTTGGGTGAATCCATTTCTTTATGCCTATTTCAACCAAAGTTTCAGAAATGAGTTCTATCGATTGTTTCCTTGTACGCTAAAAGGGCAGTCTAAAGTGGCTCCTACTAATAGGACTATTGGTAAAATTACAGCTACAACATCAGCCAATAACACACTGTCGTGAATATTATAAATATAATATAATATATTTATCTGTTATTTTTGTGTGTGTACACTTTTACAAAGTCGTTTAATCTCTGAGCATATCGTCAATATATTTACCATAATAAATACATATGGCACTGAATATGTGATTCTATATATATTTGTTTATTAGCTTTGTTTATTAGCCAAGTTGGTACTTGGAATGTAATTACAGGCAATCGGTGAAACACGTATTGCATCACTAAACACACTTTAGCGTATCGCCACTGCGTGCAGATGCTCTAATACTGATGCCACATTCACTGTACTAAGAAGAACAGCATCCGTATAACTTTGACTAGCTGTTAATACACAAGCCGACTGTGTAACATATACAAACAGTGAACAGTAAATTACTATAGTAAATTAGGCCTGGTATTGATAGTTCAATACGAACTTACATAGTTGATTGTTCACCGGCGGAGTCAGTCATAGTGTGGAACGAAATGTAATTACAAACAGACAAAGATACATATGTAACCATGATAGCGACATTGCAGTGAAAAGACACTGTGCATGATACTGTTTTAAAGTATTAATGTTTAAATAGTTTTGGTGGTTATTGAATCTAATAGTTCAATGACTTTATCCCATTGTTGATGCATGTTACACTGGATACACATTATTACGTCACTATAGTATACGATATATTCTGATACATCGAGAACTTAAAACAATATATTTTAGCGTAACGTGAAATGTCATGTGTGTTTTCGTTAAAACGTATTTGCCCTAAATACCGTTATTTTGAAGTAAACTACGTCATCAGCATTGTAATTTAACTCACGTCCATTTGTTTGCGGAAACACTATGACGCGCGACGGAAATATAAACATATCACGCTGAGCAAAAAAATGGTTACATCAACACAAATCTCATAAAATGTTGTTGTTTTTTTTGCTGTGGTTGAGCCGTCATCTCTCGTTAAATCATTACTGTAAGATGTATACACATGTACGGTTTGTATGTATCATGCGCAACGATACTGTGGGATATTCTCGTAATAACCTCATCATATTCTGATAGAACGATGGTTCATTAAACCAAAACCGAACTTCGTGTACGTCAACGCACAAATGAGTAACACATTGTAATAGATTTAAATTATCATCTTCCTCGAAACCCAGAAACGTTAATGACGTGGTCATTATATCAATGCCATTGGCGAGACTGCTTTTATGAGTTTCCTGTCTATAATTGGCCAATTAAGGCTCCCTGTTTTACTACAATTGATTTCCGTGTATGGTATTCTTCAAAGGTATAAAATAGTTGCCAATGACTTACGATTATGCCCATTTTATGACATCAAAGAAACTCCGTGAGAAACACGAATTTATTTAAATAGGCCTTGATAGAGCGGCGTTTTTTTATTTGTGTGAGACAGTGCGTCCATGTATGACGGGTTCACCCCATTTATTCATAAATTGCCCGTTTGATATTTGAAATGTCAAGAATGGAAACCATGGAAAC